TTGATATGTAATTACTTATATAAATTAATCAATAAAGATATGAGCAAGGCCTCACCTTAATACCAAAAAAAAAAAAATAATAATAATAATAATAATGCATTAATTATATTTATAATAACTCTATTATAACTATATTTTTCAAAAATGAAGGGTTTCAGTAAAGTATATATATAAGTAATGATTCAAATATTCATAATCTTTAAAACTTTCAACTAATAACTATTAAATAATAATACTATATAGATGTAACTTCAAGTATTAGTTAGTCACAACAGTTGTGTATGGGTGTGGGCACATAACATATAGCTTTTGAATTACATAAAAAAATTGTTTAAAAAAAATGACTTACAAAAAAAAGATGTGGCTATAGGTATCAATTATAATAACCTACAAACTAATACACAATAAAAATATATATAAGGGCATTAAGGGTATTATGACGAAGTTAACAAGATTTCAAATGTATCATGTGATTTATCGATTAAAATCGAATAATTTTGGTATCATTCATTAAGCTGAATCGATTAATATAAGAATTATTCGATTCTGGTCACTAGATCCCGAGATATGTTAATGTAAAGATTTTGATTCTTGACGGTTGAGATGGAAAGTTGTAGAAGTTTCATCAATGGCTTCAATGAGATCTTGTAATTCTTGCCAAGTCGTTCAATGACGGCTGCGGAATTCCATTCATGTATAAAAACCAGATGTATTCGTCTTACTTGTACTTTAGGTTCTATCTGAGTGATCCCTCCTTTATAATAAAGCTATCTGAGTGATTCTTTCATTATATCGTATATCTCTATCTACTGATTATCTTACTACTGACTTACAATACATATACACTGCGCACTTGCAATTGCTTACATATACTCTTACTATTTCTACATACTCATACTATACTGAGCTCACATACTTCTAATATTATATACTCACGCCTATCCCTCCCTATTATCGCTTACTGTCCTGATTTAGACCGGCACTATCAATTTCTATTCGCTCTCCCGCGGACAGTAACACCGGCTTTACCCAAGTCGATTAATTATCTAAAACACGTGACAATATATATACGTATATGATTGGTCATTATATATGGTTATAATCAGTAAAATTTTACAAGATCTAACACTAAAGATTTCACCTTTACCTTCACCTTAAGAAATTATATTTGTTGAAAACCTTTAAACTTATCAGATAATCAAAAACTCTGTTAGAATCTGCTAATTTCCCGTGATTTTACATGACATTGTTATCTGCGAATCGATTCTTGATTAAACCGATAATTATCGTTATAGATGATGATATAAACCACCGAACTAACTTGGTCAGATCTAAAATTCTATAACTTTACATTAGTTGGGCCCAAGTGAAAATTGCATTTAGGGGATTACATTTAAAGATTACATTTCGAGGCCTGACTGTACATTTATTAAGTTTATTTGAATATGCTCTTTAATGTAATCGCTTAATTTTAATGATTGATTTTTTATATTTGCGCATATTAAATAAAAAATAAAAGTGCATTTTTACGTTAAAAAGCAATTAAGAAAATTCCAACAAATCTATTTTTATTTGTGATATTCAATTTAAATCCCTTTGGAAATATTTAAAGATACAGTATTCAATTTTTTCCGACCATTTTTATATGCAGTGTAATGATTAATTAGATGCATGGACTAGATTACACGTATCAGTTTTTTAAGAATATAGATTAGATCGTACAATTTTTTATGCTTGTGTATTTTCGTGCAGAGATCTTCAATTAAATTTTTTTTTGCAATTCCAGAAAAGGAAAATCTTACTTCCGCAAGACGTTGCTACGTATTACTATTTTAATTACAATTATAATAATTGTAATACATTTAAATACAAAAGTATGTCGACATTGAGATCTTCCTTTTTGTCTTTTTTATTATTCTTACCTAGATTTACGGATATATTCCTTATATTTTTTTATCGGATTTTTTACCGTCAGATGAATTGATAATCACTAATCGTCAAAGACTATAATGAATGATCTCAGCGAAAAAGTTTATGACCATTCAAAGTTTAGGTTATATCCAAGTGACTATAAAGTACGATTAGGACTTGATTCTAATATGCGGTGTGTTTTATTATTAGTTAGATTTTAAACAAATGTGGGTTTGAATGACGCCGAGCGAAGCGAAGTCGAGAGTCATATAGTAGAAAAAAATGGCTCAATGTAATATAATATGGATTAGGTTTGAAAAAATTTTATGTGAAGTGAGACGAAGGCTATATATGATAAAATTTGTAAACGACGTTTATGATGTAAAAAAAAAGATTCAAATTGCAATGAGACCGCGAAAGCCTTATAAAGATTGTAGTTTATGTACTTTCCTATTCATATTTAAAACTAGTCTATTAAAAAAATAGTGTAAATTTAAAATCTTTAAAAAAATTTAATTTTGATTTTTTTTTTTTTTTTTTACAAAAATAACGATATCAAATTAATAATAATTGGTTAATTGGTATTGTCATGTTATTATCACAACATCTGCTATATCTAATCATTAGTTAGCTGAAACGGACGATGAAGTCACCCGCATGCGCAATTTTTGATTGCTATTTAAAATTTCCAATTTAAGTAAAATATTTATTAATGATCATCGCTATACCTAGTTACGTGCAGTATAATAAATATTTTCGACGTGTTTGTGCGACATTGTCACGACGATATTGGTTCCATATGCAAAATTGCTACTTCTTGATTCGAAAATAAAGGATTTTTTAAAAAATTAATAATTGTCTACATATCCAAACCTTTTGTAATACATAGAAATAGAATAAAATCAAGCGTTTTCAAAACCTCACGAAAACAATAATTATTCACCTTTTTTTCGAAAAACTAATAATCTTTACACACCTTTAATAGTAATCATGAAATTTGGGTTTCTTTTTATAATCTTTTCCATAGTTACCAATCATAACATATGCGCATACCCTAATAATAAGCGACTGCCTACCATTAATTTGGTAAAAAGAGTGAGCGTTGATACTAATGATACAAATGCAATTACGATTTGCGAACGTATGAAGAAAGCGGCCATAAACAAATATTCTAACTATAGAGATCTTAATTCAGCATCTTCTAATATAATAACTTCTAATAATGGAACGTCTTCTAATGCAACAGCTTCTAATAATGGAACATCTTCAAATATAGCAACAGTATCCAATACAGCAACTTCTAACAATATTTCTGGGAATGGTCAATGCACCACGCTTATAAAAAATATGGCGTTAGATGAAGCATATTATGGAAAAATGATTGTTGGTAATCAAAAATTTAATATGTTTTTAGATACTGGATCTTCAAATTTCTGGATTCCAAATAAGAATTGTACTTCTGCTTCTTGTCAAAATCATAATAAATATGATTCAAGTAAATCATCAACTTTTAAACCAGAAGGTAATCCGTGGTCTATCTTGTATGGTACTGGTTCTGCTTCTGGTGTTACCGGAATAGATAATGTTCAAATTGGACAGATTACTTGTAAAAATCAAATTATTGGTCTTGCAGATAATGAATCTGATGATTTTTTAACATTAGAAAATGATGGAATTTGTGGACTAGCATTTGACAGTTTGAACACTATAAATAATGGCGCTCCAACAATAATCTCTACTTTAATTGCACAAAAGAAAATTAATCCAATTTTTAGCTTTCATTTCAATCATTATTACGTTTATGATGATCAAGGATCATTTACTTTAGGTGGTGTTGATGAAAGTAAATTTAATGGAGAAATTACATATAACAATGTGATTCCTAATTTTTTGATTCCTGATTATGGATTCTGGGCAATAAAACTAGATGATGCAAAGGTTAATAGTAGTCCACTGTCATTTTCTGGAAAGATTGCAGTAATTGACACTGGCACTACACTTATGTTAATACCACCAAAAGATGCTGCAGCAATTCATAGCCAAATTTCAAATTTTGAATACGATAGTCAATATGGTGTCTACATTATCCCTTGCGATACCACTGCTGTTGTTTCTCTTGAATTTGGAGGCGTTGATTATAAAATTCCATCCAGAGATTTAATTTTTTTACCAATATCTAGCACTCAGTGTGTATCATCAATTTTACCTGTAGCTGTTTTCGGTGATCCTGATGCCTGGCTCGTCGGCCAAACATTCATAAAAAATGTATTTTCAGTATTTGATGTGGAAAATAGAAGAGTTGGATTTGCAAATAGTAAATAATCTGCACTACTCCTTTCTAGTCATTTATTAATTCGTAATGATATTCACTTGTCAATTATTGTATTGTATTTTCTTATTATTTTTCTTATTTTAATGTATTCATATTCTTTTGAACTTCTATATATGTCACATAGATATAGATTTTGCACCTTTGATTTAGATCAATTTTATATATTTAATTTAATCTTACTTATCATCATAACCTTCACCCATGCTGGATATAATAAAGCAATATGCTTACATTGTCATTGTATAAATTCTTTTCCTTGTCATTTATTATTATCATACTTGGTTCCTTATTACTTTGTTATTTTTTCATTTTTTATTATTTCTATTCTTCCGACAATTACACGCGATTAATTCATTGATTTTACCCTCACGTGATATCACCAAAATAAACCAATAATGAACCTCGATTTAGTGTCAAAAATCGCTTACTATTACTTTATATCAGTTGGTTCAGTTTAGAGGGTGGAATCGGTGAAAAATTATTCGAACATCGATCAAAATTTCGAGTACCGAAATAAACTTTCATTCACTGAGTTTTTTAATTGATCAATTATCGAGCATCAGTCAAAGTTAATTTTATTGTTTTGATCGTGATAAATTGTTTGATTAAATGACAACTTCTATAAATATTGATTTATATCTGATATCACGCTAAATTTTATTTATAAATATAATGCATTTTTAATATCTTAAAAAACTCGGTGATATTCGAATATTTGGTCAAAATTTTTCACCGATGCTAAAGCTTGTGATTGAACAATTATTGAAATTCATCGATTCCAATCTCTAGTTCAGTTAATTTAGGTGACTTGGTTAACTCTGTTAACTCTGTTAGTTTGGTTTAACCGGTTAAGTAAGCTAACTCGGTTGACTCGATTAACCTGGCTTAATAAGCAAACTCAGTTGACTCGGTTAACCTGGTTTAATCGGTTAATATTAAGTAAGCTAGCTCGGTTGACTCAGTTAACTTGGTTCAACCGGCTAAGCTAACTCGGTTGATTCTGTTAACCTGGTTTAATCGGTTAAATAAGCTAACTGGGTTGACTCAGTTAACTTAGTTTAACCAGCTAAGTAAGCTAGCTTAACTACATCAAGGCGTAGGATCGATTTTCCGTTCACGTGATTTTCCGATGTCAATTAGCCAATTAAAAGTCAGAATATGGTGTAACGTAAAAAAATCAAAACAAACGTTTGCTTTGCAAAAATCGCATTTATCTCAAAATTTATACTAGTTAATCGATCTTTCGACTCTAACAAAAATATTTTCTCGTGCAATTTTACTATACAGTAGTCTTTCTAACCATAAATAATATCTAAATAAAAACATAACTAATATTTTTGTTCAAAGACTGGACATCGGAAAATCGACCCTACGCCCTGTCAAAATTAAGCAAGCTTGGCTGATCGGTTAAGCCGATTGTACCAGGTTGAGTTCGGTTCGGTTAACTAGTTAATGATTTTTTATGCACTATTACTATGAATATCAAATTATACAGCAAATTGGAAATGCTTAATAGGAAATCACCCATTTTATTCGTAGATATTTTCATAAACGTAATAGTTAAAGTGTAACTACTTTATATGCTTCAAATCTAGGATTAGCTAAAAAAAAAAATACATGTGATATTTCCGAATATTATCCCTGAAGCTTTATGAGAAAAAACTGTTAGCAAAAGCTGTAGATATTTATAACAAATAATTGCTATATATTTTATTATTTTATTAATTCCTAGCTTTATTCTCGAATTCTCGTATAGCATTGTATTTTTGTATGTTGAATTAAAATTTAAGTTATATCAAAATTTAAATATCAAGTTTTCGAATGAATGTCCATGTTAGGAAAAGACTGGTATTAAAGGTGTGACGTATTGCATAATTATTTAATTTAATATGCTACGAATTATAATTCGACGTGTCGCACAACATATATATTCCTAATTCTATAGTCCTAAGAACATTATTGTTTAGAGGATCATTTATTTTAGCATTAATCAAATATGTGATCTTTAATGGTCGCACAAATCCGGAAAATTTTCTAAAGGTAGATTCGACATAATAGTTTGTGTTACATTAATTTATTACAGTTATTACGCTGACTAATTGAAATCAAATATTAAGTATTTTAGTTAAGTAAAAGAAATTTCAGTTCACATTGTTTTTTTTTTTATAAATATACGTTTGAACAATTAAAATAATTTGGACTTTGTACTCCGAATTTTATGGTAGAAACTTCTTGACATAATAAAATTTCATTAATGATAACATGGAATTAAACGTTTCTTTGTCAGATTGCCGTACATATGCATAATCATACGTAAGTATATACATTTTTAATTCACACTAAAGAACTAATTAATTAAATTTCACATTGGAAATTGTTTCCGGTATTTACTATATTTGTAATTAAAATTCCTAAAAAAGATATTTGTATTAAGTTTATTGATTAATAAAGGAAATTTTAATATATATACAGTATGTACAGTCAGACCTCATTATAGTCACTCTCAATATAGTCACTACCCTGTTATAATCACACTATTTTTTAAATCTAGCCATTATAAAACATATAAATTTTAACCTTTATATAGTCAAAACTTTTTATAATCACCAAAATTTTGTTTCCCAACCTGGTGATTATATCGAGGTCTGACTGTATTTTTGAATTTGTTCAATTTTTATTTACTGTAATATTGACGTCTAATTAAATATATATTTGAATTTATTCGATTTTTATTTACCGTAATATTGACGTCTAAATTAAATATATATTTGAATTTGTTCAATTTTTATTTACTGTAATATTGACGTCTAAATTAAATATATTTTTGAATTCGTTCAATTTTATTAACTGTAATATTGATATAATATCTATGTTTAAATTACATCACTGGTCCAATTCCAAAAATTACCATAATAAATATAATACTGTTCTACATACAAATAATTTTATTATTATAATATCAACATTATTAAAATTTCGTTTGAACACTTGCCCAATATGTTTAGTGTGTTTAATTTGTGTGAAAGTTTATGGAAAATATTGTTCTTGTCAACCAATAAAACTTGACAAGAAATATAAAAAAGGCTCTGGATATCAAATTAGCTTTTATAGTAAA